TCATTGAACAGTAAAATACATGGTATCTCATTCTTTTTCTCTGATCACATAACTGTCTAGAAGATTAATATGGTATTAGAAAACCTATACCAAAGCTTTGGAGACCTTGTAATGGACAAGCTTTGAGAAAGAAAATACACCACTGCTGATAGTTTGGGGGGTGTATCACAGACTTCATCAGAGCATACTCAGAAACTGATCCCTACCAAGACACCACACAGATCCATTTGGAACAAATGTAAAAGGAGAGTATCAAAAAATAATCTTCCTCCAAATTTTGCAGAGGAAGCCTCTAGCCAGCTATAAGATATGTTCTAGTAAAAGCAGGAAAAAACAGTTGATTAGCTGCAGGTTTGGGATACATATGTATATATATATATGAAGACTATGTAAGATTTAAAGATAGATTACAGTCTTATTGTAGTATCATTTTACTTAGGTTGATACATACTGAATTATTTCAGAGAATGCCCAACTTCTTTTGGGTGTTTCAAATTGCTTCTCCATTTATCAATAGTCAATTTCCCAGTAATTCTCTACTGATTGTCAGCAGGTACCACATGGGAAAAAGTCACACAGCGGATTAATTGCACTTGGATTGCTTAGAGCAAATTATGGTAAATCCAAGATTGGGCCCTAGGTGCTGTGAATATTAATGTGCTCTGTTTTATAGCCTACCTTGTCTCCAACAGGCACAGGCTGAGAACTTACAAAGACAAGACCTTGACCTGAAAAGTAAAAATCTTGCCTTTGCAGGGATGGAGGTGAGGCTGACTGGCCTATAGTTGCCTGGGTCCTCCTTCTTGACCTTTTTGAAGAGTGGCGTGTCTTCTTTGTTCTTCCAGTCCTCAGGCACCTCTCCTGGTCTCTTTCAGGGATGATGGAGAGTGGCCTGGCAATAACATCAACCAGCTCCTTCAGCACCCGTGGGTGCATTCCATCAGGGCCCACAGATTTGTGGATGTCAGGTTTGCTTAAATGATCTCTGACCCAATCCTCTTCAACCAAGGGAAAATCCTCCCTTCTCTGGACTTCCTCTCTTGTCTCCAGGGTCTGAGATTCCTGAGGGCTGGTCTTAGCAGTAAAGACTGAAGCAAAAAAAAAGCATTCAGCAACTATGCCTTCTTGGTATCCTTTGTCAGCAGGGCACCTGCCCCATTCAGCAACGGGCTGACATTTTCCCCAGTATTTCTTTTTCTACTGATGCATTTGAAGAAGCCCTTCTTGTTATCCTTGATGTTCCTTGCCAGATATAATTCCAAATGGACCTAGGCCTTCCTTGTCACATCCCTGCATACTCTGGCAGTGTCCCTATAATCCTGTCAAGTGGCCTGTCCCTTTTTCCAATGCCGTAACTTCCTTCTTCTATCTGAGCTTTACCAGGAGCTCCCTGCTCAGTCACCTACCAAACTACAGCATTCCTTCAAGTGGATTTGTGATGCCAATGGAAACCCTGTTAAAACCAAGGCCCAGGTCTTCAGTTTAATTCTGATCTCACTGACTGGGCAAGCACCAGCATAAAGTTAATGCAGCTTTGATACCAATTATATTTTATTTGGAGGGGGGTTAAGTTGAAATAAGTGAGGCTGTATCTGCTTAGGTTATCGATTAATTTAGCGCTACACTTGTTTTTATGAGCTTTCCTTTCACCTGATGGTTTTCAAGGGAAAGGAAGAGTTTATGTGGGATATAATTGCCACTTTGGTCTAGTATCTTAAGTTACTTTTCCAGCGGAAACTTCTGGGTGGGAAAACTTGACACTTTGGTAAGTGTGCCAAAATGTAGTGCAAGTTTATATTTTCCAAAGGAACATTTGACATTTCATTGAGGCATCACAAAGAGAAACAAAGGACACACCTTGTCAGGATTATCTTGTACTGAAATATTTTAAAACAAACAATGGCACTGTCCAGTAGTAAGAAAAAGTGAAGCGAAGGCATGAGTACTGGAAAGGAAATAACTGTGATCCTACGGAAAATGTGAGCCTTACTCAGAATACAATGACACAATCCTTAGTTTCATAGTATAGTAGAAACCTTTGAAAACATACCAAAAAAGCTGGGTATTTTTAAAAGAGTTTAAGGTATTTCCAGTGCAAATACAAAAGTGCTTTATGACAACTTGCACACCTTACCATTTTAAATATTTTGAAAGAAATCTTATGGAAAATATTTTTCCAAACCAACCATGCATAAATTTTAGTATGGTGATTTTAAATTTCTTTAGAGATGTTTTCGCTTGCACTCCATGTTATTATAACATGCCACTCTGACACAAATAAAACTTTCCCGTGATCATTAACAACAGACAGTGATTTTCTATCCTCAGACTGCCATGCTAGATTTGGGCTTATCACAGATGTGAGTATTTTGCCCTACTTTTCAGTCATAAACACAAGTTTCCTATCTATGCCAACTTTCATGGCAAAGGATGAAGAAAGAGACCTTTAGGAATAGTAATAAAGAGCAATACAAAAGCTCATTATGAGCCCTGATCATGAAATCACAAGCTACAGTGTGCAATATGCACAAGTAAAACTGCAAACCAAGTTCAAGAATACCAAATGAGATTATAAACTTGCTGTTGTTTTTCTGTCTGGGAAAAGCAATTCTTTAATGAGCTTAGAAACACAGCTAAATATTTTCTTTCATAAATTCAAGAAAAAGCAATACCACTTTTGAGACTTCTGCTGGGCAGCTCTTTCTCCTCTCTCTTTTCCTCTTTTAAATTTTAAATACTGCCTAGGAACCATTTGCTCTGTGAGGTTCCCATAGTTAGGACCAAACCCTTCTCAGAGGAATTTTGGCACCTTATTAATTAGTTGGTTATGAGAAGGAGCTGTACTCTTTCAGTGACTCCTATTTTGCCATCAGTAAAGTGTGATCCCATAATAAATTTCCATCAAGCAAACTATTTCTGGTAATTCCCCCTAATTAACACCAGACTGCTAATAATAAATTAGGCCCTATGTGTTTCTGATATAACCAAGATCTTGTCTGAGCACAAGATATTAGCCAATGTCCCGAGAAAGTAAAACTCAAACCTAAATTAAGCCTTTGCTGGTAAAAGGATTTATATGCAATTTTGTGAAAAACCCTTTGAAGATCTCATACAGGGCATTTTGACCAGCAAACATTTTGACTGACAGAGGGACTTGTTCTGTGCTGAGCAGTGAAAGTGGATTTATTGTGAAAACACACTGTTGAGTTTTAAGCCTATAAATCTTACACTGGATTACAGTGTCTTAATGAATGAATGACAGATTTCTTATTTTTGTCGGTGCATTTTAATGTTACATGACGTTGTGATTGATAGAAACCAAACCTTTGCCATTAAAACGTCAAATGCAGACCTGATGCCTTTAAAAGTTTGGCTTCTGGAGTTTAATATACTGTTTGCAAATAGACTTGCATTGGTCTCATTCATAGCCTAAATGCTGAAGGGAACGCAAGCTTTCTGTAAAGTTGCCTCTAAATTTTATAGAGCTATGCACAGTGTTTTCCTTAGCTTGTGTAAATAAAGGTAGAAAACAACAGTACATTTGCTTAGTTAAGAGGGATTCAGCTAAGGAGTCTTACGAGGCTGGTATTATCATGAATTAATTGGCCATGTTATAGTAGATGGTTAAGTATCCCACGGTGAAAGCAGAGAATGCTTTGTGCCAAGGCTAAGTACAGTATCAGATAATGCTTGCCAGAGCAGGCAATATTTCACTGAACAATCTCAACACAGGAAAAATACTAAACACTTCTAAACAAATATTGCAAAGTATTCTAGCTGGGCGGTAGAGTGAAGTAAAGATAGCAAATAAATAGTAATTGGCCAAATCTGTGTTTTACATTGTTATATATTCTACAGCGTTCAATACTTCCATCTTCAGGAAAGATGGAGAATCAGACTCACCGAGGTTGTAAGGGAACATTTGGAGATGAACAGACCTTGTCGAGTCCAACTCCCCTTCTCAGAGCAGTGTCAGCCAGAGCAGGTTTCCCAGGGATACATCCAGTCAGGTTTTGCAAATCTCCAAGGACAGAGAACTCCACAATCTCTCTGGGCAGCCTGTGCCACTCGCACAGTTGCCCTGTCACTAGATAGCACCAGACAGAGCCTGGTTCCATCTTCTTTACTCTCCCCATCAGGTATTTCTACACATTGATAAGATCCCCCCCGAACCTCCTCCTCTCCACGCTCAACAGTCCCAGCTCTCAGCCTCTCCTCATAGAGAATCACAGAATCATTTAGGTGGGAAAAGACTTTCAAGATCATCAAGCCCAGCCATCAACCTGACCTACTAAGTCCCATCACTAAAACATGCTCCAAGCCCTTAATCTTCTTTGTGGCTCTGCACTGGACTTACTCTAGTGTGTGCATATCTCCCTTGTAGTGGTGAGCCCAGCACTCCAGGTGTGTCTCACCAAAGCTGAGCAGAGAAGACGGCTCACCACCCGTGGCCTGCTGGCAATCCTCTGCCTAACGAAGCCCAGGAGGCTGGTGGTCTTCCTTGTCACAAGGACACATTACTGGCTCATGGCCAACTTGCTGAAACCTCCATTCTACCCCAAAAAACTTGAAGAACAAGCAACTCAAATTACATTTATTCGTGCGTACAGTCAGGACTTTCTTTTACTGACTGTGATTCAGAAAAAAAGAAAATCCACTAGTTGCAAAACAGCTGAGGACAGATAGTGAGTTCTGTTTTCCATGTTGTGGTTTTCTTTGTTGTTGTTTTGTTTTTAAATTATTATTACATTTGCAAATGTGAACAGCCAACATTTGACACCCAAGACTATTAAACAGAAACACAAAAATCACCAAGACTTAACAGCTGACTTCTTAGAGTAAAACAATGAAAACAAAAATGAAATTCAAGAAACTAATTTGTGAACTGATGTAGTTCCCCTTCTTACCTGTTAGCAAAGCCATCCACATGGCTAGATGTGAGTAGCCCCATCAGGAGACAGGTACACAGCTGAACAGACCAACACACACTGGACCGCTACTCAAGTTTTGCTTTTACGTTTATTGCATTGTTATATTAAGCATTTATTATATTTACACATATTTCTGAATTATTTAGTTACAATATATTGAAAGTGTCATCACGATTCGATTATTCGACTAATAAAGACCTTCTACCTTCAGAGTTAAACCCAATTCTTTTAACAGGCACAGTTTTGGAAGAAAAAGTAATTACTGACTGAAAATGCATGCAAAACCCTACAGTAGTTAGATTATTAACAGGGTTCTCCTGGCTTTTTAACTTTCCTTCAAAACATGAATGCTGTAGATCTGTTTTATGAAAAATAGTTGGAAATCTTATCCCCAGATGACAATGGAACGGTGCTGATTTTGCTATCTCAAGTCTGCAATCAAATATACACATGTATATGTGCATATATATGTACGTCTCACTGTACACACACGTGTGCATACATAGATAAGTATATATAAATACACACACTGACACACCAAAAAATTCTAGAGGTAAATAGGCAGGCTTACAAATAAAACAAAATACAAAGATACTGGTATGAAATAGTCCTAAACAACAAAAAAGTAATAAATATTCAGTGAGATATATGGCATTATTATAAAGTGCTCTACTAAAATCTCACTTATTAAAATCATGATAAACATTATGTTCCTTTTTGCTTTAGTTGATTTATATAATTCAAGAGACCCATTAAATTTGCAGTATGTATCACTGACTCTATGCTTCCTTTTTAAATTTTAAACAAATAGACAAAGCAGAAACTAAAAGGCAAAGCAGCTAAGTGAATTAGTACTACTGGAGCCTTTCAGGTGTTTGTGCTCATATTCATTAACAACTGTGAAATTTCAAACCTAGAGCATATGTATTAGAAACATAAATCCAATAAAAATTAAAAAATAAAAAAATAAAAAAAAAAAAAGAAAGAAAAGATGTCTTTATGGACACTGGCAAACATTGTGTCCACTGAATAGCTTCTATCCTACTTCAGAATAGCAAGGTCTGAATTTCAGAAATTACCTTATCACGTGCATTCGCATCCTCTTTCCTCATGCATGTGCAATACAGCTGTACTGACACCTAGTCTTCAGGACTCATTGCTCCACATTCCACTAATTTCTAAAGCAAGCTGGCTCATACTGCTGTATCTTGTCTAGTCTGCCCTTATCCTCCTGATTTTCAGCCACAGGCACAGAAGGGTGTACATATAAGAGTGTAAACATTTTGATGTGTTTTTTTTCTCCCCCTCTTGTGTTGATGTTTCTTGTTACAATTGCTTCACTCAACCATAGTATTTTTTTGTAATTGTCCTCATGATTTTATGGATAAACCTCTCCTTTTTATCAATAATTAAAACAAACAAACAAAACAAAACAAACAACCACCCAGTGCACTTCTAAAGTCTACTGGAAGTAGCACTAAAGCATAGCAATTCAGCTCTGACATCTAACTTGAACTTAATAGCATGTAAATTCAGTTTGCATCAGGAGTCTAATCTGGCCCCGAGAGGGCCTCCTTCTCTGTTGTGCAGCTCTGCTGGAGTAAAATTCACCCTGTGCAGAGGGTTATCACCCTTTCCCTATACGCCTACTATTGCTCCATACCACTTAAACCCTAATCTGAAGGTAAGTGGGACTTAGCTGGTGCATGGGTCTTGTGCTGACACTGTGGCAAAATTCATATCAAGCCACAGGACTGGCAACATCTCCTGGCTTGCAGTAAATGCATAATGACAGTATTGTCTCTGTTCCCTTGCAAGAACTGAGAGATACTGGACTGCCTAACTCAATATTATATTATTTAACAATATATTCCTTACATCTGGTGGAAAAGAGAAAAAACTAAACTAATAAAAATCATAACAGCTGAGCAAGAAAATAAGTTTATAGTATGCTACCTGGCAAACCACCAATATACATATTCATGAGCTACATCATAAAGAATATACTGAGAGAAAAACAATGTCCTCAGTTGCACTTCACAAGTTTTCCTTATTAAACACTGAAGTCTCACATTCTGGATATAAGACACTGTTACATGCAGATTCAATGCATTTTCCCCTTTCCAAGGCACTGAAAACTATCTAAAACTTGAACTGTGAACATAAGAATATAGTACCCACTCCCTTATACTTCAGAGTTGATCTGACATTATTGTCTTGTCAAGCACACTCTCACTATTGCTTTATTTTGGCTAGTATTCTGGTAGCACATGCTGTGGTTTAAGGAACAGTATCCCATCTATGTTTTCTTCCAACTGGCGTCTTTAAATCATCCGTGCTCACTAGCGCAGCCATCACACGATGGCTTTGTAAAAATCTCTGTCCTCTGCAGACCCATCGGAGATCTAAAAGGCACAGGTATGTGTAATGGTGCAGGAGGCTTAATGAAGCTGAGCATCAGATGAAAATATTAGTTGTTGAACTACATTCCACCTAATCTTATCATTGCTTTGAGTTCCTCTTTAACGGAGTTTAGCTTCAGTACTTCCAGACACACCTTAAAAAACATCAGCACAATAAAGTGATCTGGACCACTGAAGCCAATCTCCTTTTATTTGTTGAATAGCAGCAAACCCAACAATCTAAAATCAGGTACTCATTTTTAGAGAAACTTCACTTCTCATATTGAAGCATATATAAATGTGGTCATAAAATCATGAGACCAATACAGTAACGTGCCAAGTAGCGAAGTAAAGGCACTCTAATATTTTCACTTGGGTGTAATTCCTGATTCCCTGCTTTTTATGAAGCAAACCCCTAACCGACAAACACTCTAAGAATAGCGTACAAAATCACTAAAATTTCCACATTTGTCTTCCATTTTTAGAAAAGCATATATAAATAACTTTAACTAACAATCAAACATGGACATTTTAACCTTTCTTTCTGCTCAGTACATTTGCTAAACAGGATGAGCTCCAAGCATCAGATGTTGATAGAGTGAGCATGTTTCTTGCACAGTGGCTTGTCCTTCTTGGAGAAGAAAGTCTGACCCTCCAAACTGTCACTGCATACCTGAAATGGGATCAAAAAGAAAATGTCACCTAATTGAGATGGATGAATTATACCACATGTTATTCGGAATGCCTAATCATGGCATTGCACTATGCACCAGTATATTCAAAGATTAAGAATTATTACTTTTTTTTTTTTTTCCTGAGGGATATTCTTTTTTTCTTTTTGATGTAAAATTAATGGCTGATGTAAGCATAGCCTTCCTCTTTAAGTCTATAGGCTCTTAACTCAGAGTAGAGTTAGTTCAGAACTGAAAAAATTAAAAAAAAATAAAATCCCATCGTTAGGATTTGGGTTCCTTTTTTTTTTTTTTTACCCACCAAATATTAGCAGGTGATACTCTTTGACTACAGTGTCTTTACGTCAAAAATACTCTTGATACCTTAGAAATGCAGCCTGTTCCTTTATGGCCTTCTATATTTGTTCTAGGGAAACAAATGTCAAGGGTTAAATGCTAGGACACAGTGCTGCAATCCACCCCAAATAATCTGGACTGGTGCCAACAGCCCGCAATAGAGATACACCTTCTAAAAAACTGTAAAAGTGCTTTTTGTTTGGGTTCTGAGGACTGAAAGACATTTTAGCTGGAAGCCCCATATTGGTCATGTTAGCACAAGTACTGCTGCTATGGATTAGTTTAACAAGAACAGCTTTACTTACCGAGCATACAAAACAAGTGTCATGCCAAGTGTGGCCCAGGGCTTCAAGAAACCTATCTCCAGCTTCAATGGGGAATTCGCAGCCATGGCACATAGTACCAAAGAGGGCATAGTAATCTGCAACAAACACCAATTTTAAAGATGAAGCACACACAGAAAAGCAAGACTGACTCTGAAAGTTTTGTTCTTTTCTTTCAATAGCATTGGGTTTGCACTTGTCCTGTCAAGTTTTATGAGACTGGGTGCACTGAATAAAGAGGTCCTAGGCTGAATGACAGCGATGTCATCTTTTCCTCGGTAATTCGCTTCTATTCCCCTTCCTTATCCTTTCAACCAAGCAGTGCTTCCACCGTCTTGGTGTTTCATTTCCTTGAGATCAATAGTGCACTCGGGGGGAAAATGCACTCCTTGCAGAGCACCAGCGCAGACTCTGCATGCTACTTGTGCTCTCTCAGGCTCTGCTTTGAAAGCATACCCAGGCTTCCTATTGCCTGTTTACATGACAAACCTCCTCAGCAAGGTATGTAGGTCGTGCCTGCATTCTGGCACAGTATTTGTCCTGGACTGCTTTCCACTTCATGTTAGGCTCCTGTCCTGAACAGAGCGATTTGAATTAAATAAGATGAGTTTTCTAGTCACTAAAGCTTATTGCATGATCTTTAAAAATCAACCAAACAAAACCCGGAGATTTAGCAAGCATATTTACCAAGTTTAACAAAAGATACCAGTAGGGTTTCAGTGACTGGTGTCATAGAAAGGTATTCCCACCATTCACTTCTAGGCACCAGAAAGGTTGAAAAGGAGAAAGCAGGACAGAGCAGCAGGGTAAGATGTATGTATGAGGTTGGGTAGGAGGCACTTACAACCATCCCCATTCCCAAGTTCTCTCCACATGGAAGCTTGCATCTCTGTGCACGGGGCCGTATCACAGACCATGAGTTACTGCAGCCCTCCACTGCCCACCTGTGCAGACCTAAGTTTGTCCCTAAGCTGTCTGGTCTTTCCCATTTATTTCAACTCTAAATGTTGTGGGTTTTGTTTGTTTGTTTTTCCTGCCCAGAACACAACAACATTAGGGCTATAACATGAGAGAATTCTAGATAAGCATGCTGCCATTCCAAATATATAATATCACCTTCATAAAATGGATTACAAAGTGACAACCCTAATAAAGCACTGGACTCCATCCTTTATACCAACACGCTGGCACTGCCAGGGACATCAGATGTCAATGCCTGTTTTCAAGCAGCATTATAAGGAGTAAAAAGCAGGATACAAGGAGATTCTGCTTCTCTACTAGATAATCCAGAGACACACACTCTGGTGCTTACTGCAGCAGAGACAACAGAGGCTTATCATGTGTGTCAAGCACAGGGAGAAGTCTGAGAAGTCTGTTTTGGTTTAGTAAAACTGTATCTCGTATGATGACCTCAAAGAGCATCATAGAAGGAATTTAAGCAAGACTGGGAACGCAAGTGCTCTGCAAAAGCAAAGTCCTTGAAGGCTAATAGTGGCAAGAAACACCTTCAAAAATCACCTTCCTTATTGTAATGTTGTTGGCATGAATTTGCAAATGAATAATCAGAAAACACACAATAAAAGTGACAAATGGCAGAATGCCTCTGTCCAAAACCCCTGAAGGTCATGGTCTCATGATTATACCCTTTCAGCTCTTCACATTCATGTTCACATGCAATCTTTTACCGATATTTTTCTGGTGCCAGCCACTACAACCTTTTGTAATGTGCGCTGTAGTTTGTGCTGATAAGTTTCTTGGCTTTTGGTCCAAAGAAAGAACAACAGATAAGGCAGAATGAAGGGCATCAGCTTTCTTTTGCATTCACGTGCTTGAATTGTGATACCACAGAAGTCTTCCAACACAGACTTCTCATAAAGTAACATATTAATGCTTTTTGCATGCAGCATTTTTGAAAGCAGGTTCCTAACTGCACTGGGATGTTCAAAGTTGTATATATCCGCACATTTAGTTTAATTTTAGCATCCATGTCCAGCAATGGGACATTTTGCAGATTAAATCCCCCTAATAGTAATAACTGACACTGTTACAATTTCTAATACAAATTTAAAATTAGAACCCTTCATTGCACTAGGAAGAAGGAAAGTTGGCAATGACTTCTATTCTCTATTTCTTCAAAATTAGTCACAGACTCTTAACTCCAGCTGGACTGAAAGTCTTTGAAGAGTGAATATATCTCAAATTAACATCTAGTTAGAGAGCCAGAGCCATTACAACACATCATTGCCAAAGCACCTCACAGAATGTGTCTGCCTTAAATTCTGCTAGCAACTTTTTATCTCAGAAACTTCATGAAAAGGGTAATATTCTTGTCTTTCTATCCCTCTGTTTTCTACTCAAAGTATGCAAAAATGTGCATATTGTGCATGGGAGCTGTAACAGTAGCACAAATCAATGCACCGCACAACATACGGGTCATTTGGTGGCAGAAACAAGAATTCAATACTATCAGTACAAACCCGGTCATGAGCTTTCCACCCAAAGGGGAGTTATTGATCCCTCCGGTACTATTTTTGAATCATCCAAGATGAGGGGCTTCAGACTGCTTCAGGATGAAATTTCACTATGCTGTCACACTGGAGGATGCTGCTCATATATCCATTTCCTCTGCTGCTCCGCAAATTCAATAGGAGCAACACGTTACCCTACTTGTGACAGTGACTTAGCAGTAACCTACTTTGTCCTTTCATATCTGCCAACACCTCATCAAATCCACCCTGACAGAAAATTTGGGTAAATTTTGCCTGCCTTCCTCATATTTTCAGTATCTACGGCTCTTCATAGCACCACTGTGAACAACTGGACCAGCCCAGAGGAAATCTTAGCCCCAAACAAGTCACTAGGATTTCAAGCTAGATTTCTTCCTGGTCAACCCACTTCCACCTCTAGCTAGATTACAATGGTCCTTACAGCAAATTAAAAACACAGAAAAGGTTTGATTGACAATTCTGTCATGGATGTAAATAATATGCAGTGAAAAAAACAGACAATTTTAATACATACTAGTTTTTTTGCATTATGTGGAATTGTTTTACAAATGACATCTATTTCTGTCGTAGCTCAGAAGGGTACATGAAATGTTTTAGGCAAACTAAGAAATCAACAGAAATAAAATCTGATCATGTTAATCACATCGAAAAGACACAGTCAGTCGGAAGTGCTAAAAAAAAGTACAAAAAACAAAACCCCAAAAAACTAGATTAACTAGATTTCCCCTGAATATCTACAACCACATTTTCTACATATTATGCTCATCGGGCTTTCAAGTGCTATAATCTTACTGTCATATTTTTCCCCCAACAGACTTTTTTTTTTTTTAAGCTTATGTTTGACAGATGTTATCCCTGACCTTGCAAAAAAACTCCCTGGGCAGACTGCTTGTTCTTGGAGGTAGCCTTCCTGCTGTTTTTACTATTCAGAGTAAAACAGTTTGCTTTACTGGTTTTTGCTTGTTTTGTAAATAAGTAGATTTACATAAACTATTTTAAAGCCAACCAGAAAATCAACCTAAAATTAACACTTTGCTGTATCACCTACAGAAATAATAAGTAAAGAGCCTAACAGAAATAACAAGTAAAGCCAGTGACAAGAAGCCTGCTCCTACAGAAGCTGATGAAGAAATACTTCCCATCTTCCCTGCAAAAGAAACCTGTTGCAAACTCAAAGCGTCTACTGCATTTGTTGTTAGTGTGAACTGAACTGCCAAAGTTACGTGAATTTGCTGGGACACTTCTACTGAGGTGAAGCTCAAGAAAAAGAAATTCATATTATTTTTTAAACCTTATTAAGCTCTGATTCTCTGCGCAGCTGCACTAAACTTTGCTTGTGTTACTCCTTACCCGTCTCACAGTAGGGATCACCATCTTCTAAGTGGAAGACATTATTGCGAATGGGGTTATGACAGGCCACACACACGAAGCAGGAAACGTGCCAAGTTTGTTTCAAAGCATTTATTACTTCCTGTGGGGATTAGAAAATGAGTTATTAACACATTATTTCGATGTGACGACTAGATTGTGGTGACAGTGCTTCTACACGTGGTTCATTTCAAGAATACTTCCTACTGCTACTTTGAAAATGAGCTGTGCATGCAGTTACTGCTAAAGTTAAAGTCTATGAAGCGAATTATTTATTGTACATCTTTTTTTTTTTTTTTTTTTTTTTGGTCAGAAGCAGCTTTATGTGAACCTTCCAAAAACCAGAGTTGGACATGTTTAACAGTTCTTTTGTTCCCCTTCTTCATCTTACTTAGGATCTCACCCGGAACAGTCCCCTGAAATATGAAGAGAAGTCTCTTTGACCTGAAGTCTGCAAATAGTTAATCAGAAGACATCATGTCAAAAATTACAACTGCTCTGTATTGTTGTAGAAGATGATATAGTGCCAAATATGACTTGAGGATCACACTGCCAAAGCCCTGCATAACCCCAGTTACATAAGACTACAGACACATCGCTTTCTGCAGTAAAGCAGCAGACGAAGAGCTGGCAGGCTCAAATTAGCAATATTAGTGCCGAGTAGGATAATGCATCTTTCTATCGATATTACCATAGGGAATAGTTCAGTATTTTGACTCTAGCCAAACCCTGTGTTTCCCAGTGTTCAGCTCAGTTAAGGAGGATTATTTATTTTTCTTTCTTTTTTCCTCCTCCAATTCTGTAAAAAGCTGCCAATTAAAAGCATTTTGCTCAAGAAAAACTAGTTATTACAACAGCTACAGAGCAGCTTAAGGAAAATGGGCTAAACTTGAAAGAGCAAAAGAGACAATGCTACCATTTCTTAAAGAGCATCAGAGAGAAACTGAAAAGGCTCAACATTAGAAGAGACAAATATATATACTCCATATGTGATATGAACTTAAAAGGTGGGCCAGAGTACATTTTGAGGAATGCAAACTGGGCCACATAAAAGGGAATTTCATTACTGAGAAGCAGTGAACAGTGTGGTTAATGCTCCCACTTAAGAACGGGTCAGCTGCTGGTCACTTACTCCAAGGATCTTTCTCTGGCACTTTGAACACTCCGGAGCAAAGAACTTCTCATAGCAGACCTCGCAATACAGAGCCCCTTTCTCTTCCACAAATCCAATGTAAGCCATGGAGGCTTTGCAGTGAGCACAATTAAACTCCTCTGGGTGCCACGACTTCCCCAAGGCCACCAAGAAGGGTCCTCTGGTTAGGAAGAAAAGATTAATCAGCAAATACCACTGAGTTAGCTCCTGCTAAAGCTTTTAATTTATCAGCAATACCTCTGCAACATTATTTCACCGTTCACAAATTTGTTCCAGATTTGCTCCATCCCTCTTCCCTCCTATGGGCTTCTAAGAAAGTGTCAAATGTTGATGAGATCTTTTCCCACTGAACTCTCCCCCAGAGACACCTGACCTCAGTAAAGACTAATTCTTTTCACTTCATGGCATTTCAAAAATGCTGTTTCAGAACTGCATTAAATACAGTGCTGAAGAGGCTGCTAGTGGAAAGAAAATAAATAATAATAATAATAATAATAATAATAATAATAATAAATGTTCCCAGCTGCTTCCCTCTATTGCAAAGAGACATTTGACTCTGTGATACCATCAGCTCTCTTTCAACATGCATTTGTATATCAAGGCCACAAATGTTAAAGTATGCTTGACTCCATTACAAGCTAATAAGAGCAGTTTCTTGTCAGACAAAAATTCTGTAGCTGTCCTTATCCAACAAGTTTGTCACAAGATAACCCATCCAGTTGCTTTTTTTTGTTTGCTTTCCCCAGAAGTGAGTAAAAATAAGACAATTTTCTCCAAGGACAGAACCTCCTCTATTTTAATTTTTTTTTGCTTTTATGGCATTTGTCTGGCAAATGCCACAAGGTTAATGGACAAAGTGAAACTGTCCATTTCTAAGCAAACAAAAACTTCTCATTTTATAAGCCATAAGTCTCTTGTATATGCCATTGAATCAGCATTCATTTGAAAACACATTCAGCATGCAAATTTCTTTAACAAACATATTTACTCTAATGAGGTGACTCCTGGGTCCCAGCAACACTCAATCTTTCAGAATTTATGTTTTAAGAGAACTTTGTGGCTCAGGTTCACTCACCGCATTTCCCATTTCTGTGATACCAATAAAGATACCATTCTTTCAGTAATGCATCTTTTTTTTTTTTTCCTAATACTTCAATCCAAAGAAGTGTAAAGTACTAGCATCACCAGCCTGTTTGCTAAACAATTTTGGAAATTAAGTAATCAACAGAAATATTTTTGTTTAATATAAGATACTCTCATGAGCAAAACAACAACAAGAAAAGCAAAAGCATTAACATTTGTTTCCAGAGTTATGCTGACTGTAAGATGAGAACTATGTGGGCAGAGGACAGAGGGCATCTTCCTTTAGAGAAGCAGGCAATTATTTTCATTTCTCTTCTACATTGTCTCTGGAGATGCTTTGTATTTTCAACAGGAGGAGAACTCAAAAACAAAGGGAGTGAAACAGGTTTAGGGCAACTCACACATCTTCTGAGGTGAAGAAGATATTTAATCTGAAACTGTTTCTTCTGTTCCTCTCCAAATACTGCAGAGAAAACAGTGAAAAAGCAGCTCCTGGAGCAGCTCGTAGCCCTTTAAGGAGCAAGCCGGGGGGAGTGCAGCCCTCTGCCCCTGCTCGCAGCAGATGCCTGAGCAGAGCAAACACTGACCTAACCTGATACCCTCCTGCTGCCATACAAGCACCTTTCTAGATCAAAGCCCTTTCAGTTCTGTACTGATCAAACAATACAAGCCCTTATGTACAACAAAGTGCTCTCCTTGCGCCGTGTCAGCACAAGCTAATTTAACAGATTCATTAAGACGGGGCTGACACCGAAGAGGTTCTCTCCACTCCAGGTAGGATTGGGTTTCTGGCCATCTGCACTGCAATGATAGGCTTGGTTAGTTATGAAATGGAAAGCAAGCACGCTAGCGACAGGAGGGGAAGGAATTTTTACAACATCTGCTACATTTAGCTCTCCACAGTTTACAGTTCTGACATATTGAGGTTAGCCATTCAAGACAGCACGCAGGAACCCAGACGGATGGGAAACAGTGCAGGAGTGCATCTATGGGGTTTCGTTCCCAGAAGTCCCCAGACAGCTGTGGCCGTGCCCTGTACAATGTCTCCTAGGTGTTCCATTAGCGGGCCTGCTCCCCGCGCACACGTGGCCAGGGGAGCACTTTCTAAATGCGATTTTACGTTTAATCAGGCTGTAGTTTAAACATGTCAAGCTGACGCTGCGGCTTAATGATACCAGTGACTTAAAAGCTGCCCCAAAGCATGTGGAAAGAAAAAAAAAAAAAAAAAAAGAAAAAAAAAAAGAGAGAGCAAGAGAAAAAAAAAAAAACCACCTGCTATGTAAAATACACAAAAACGTGATATTCAGAACTTGGACTTATTCCTAGTCTCTGCATATTTTTGTGATCAAAACAATAGCTTCCAGTAAGAAAAGTTATTTATTTGCCTCATTCAGTTGAAAAGGAATTAAAGATTGGAGTGGGGGGGCCACATGCCCACCATCATGACTGGAATAAGCCAGGGTAGAAAATGCTAGGAAGACGGCTACAGATGACTTCATTCCTCATTGTGCATTAACAACAACAACAAAACCCCCCAAGAACTCTATGCCAACTGACTCTTTGTAAACTAGTCCAATTTTAAAGGTGGCACTCAAAAAACATGTTCCTCCCACCTGATGCTTTGGGACAACCTAACTAGCAACAGCTACCTATGAATGCGGTTTCATCCCAACCTACTTTCAAACGCTAAGTGCTTTGGACCAAATTTCTGACATCACCATCTAAAACCATGTGAACCAAACCCGCAGATGGAGGCAAATAGTAGTAACTTTTTTTTTTTTTTTCCTTTTTGAGAGATTGTGATGTACTTACATCAGTATTTACAGACTGTTATGTCCCAAAGGATCACCAGGTACATAAATTTGGTAGCCACATCTAACATCTGGGTCCCACATGTAGCAATGATATAGGGTCAAATTGGAAAGAAAAGTAAATAATGTACAAGGAATATAAGGATAATTTCACTATTATTCTACTTGTAACTAAATATAACTTTATCAGTATGGTCACGATGCATTATCATGGCAATAATCTAGCTTCTCATGTGGCTTTGATTATGACAGCAAGCCAGAACTGAAATTTGGTGGTGGAGAGATCAAAAGGATTTCCACATCTGCTGAGTAGGTCAATCACTTTTTTAGTTATTATCTTCTCATTTGAAAATGATGTGATATATAATTTCTGTATAGGAGATGTTCAAGTGAAGCACCATTCCTAATTTTCCCCTTGTGCCTTTAAATTAATTAAGATTTATGAAAAAGTGACAAAACCAAATCATCATTCACAGGTATACCAGAGATATGTTCTCAATGGAGATACAGGGAAAACACATTTGCACTTGAAAGGGAGAGCAAACTGCACTGTGGTACTCAGTGAGACTGCCTGAGAACCAGAAGTCTTCATCAGGATGTGCCAGAAGTTTGCCAGACTGACACAGCAAGTAGATCATGGGAAATTTAGTTTGCCTCCAACTCTGATACTTTTAGACACAGAAACAAAAGATTACGTAATGAAGCTTTGGAAAAAAAAAATGAAATCTTCATGCAATCACTGTATCAATAATTAAAGATATATTAAAAAGTTATAAGACGCCTCTAAGAAATTGTTTTGGCTTAACTAACCATGGTTATTCTATGCCTTAGTGTAAAGTAACCAACTCCACAATGCATCCCGGCTTCAAAGCAGATGTACAGTGCAATGTCACTTAATCCTCCTCCTACCTTTTCATAGGTAACACTACCAGTAAGGGCATGAACTGTAATTATGCTAAAGCTTGAACTTGAAATGCCAATGCAAGCTTTCAAATCCACTGCACAATGTGAACTTTAGGCATATTTGGCATTGATTATCACATGTCAACTCATACTCAAATGAAACAATGCTTGCTTTTAATAATTTAGATGGCATTTAACATGTGAAGAAATTTAAGGATTTACATGTTAACAGCAGTTGAAAGACAGACAACAGTATCAGTTACTACTCAGGAAGAGTTGTCACTTACAGTAAGTGACAATGGTTTAAGTACTATCAAGTAGGGCTGCCTCTTTCTCCTATGTGGCCACTAAGGAGCAAAGGTTGCTCCACAGACCACTACACTTGCCTGCTTACAGGGCTGAAGCTCATCTCTTCAATGGTGATGAAAGCAGGGAACAGCAGCAAGTGCTTTAAGGGCTGACAGAAGAGTTTAGCTGCTAAAGGAGAGATCTGTGCCATGCGACCCCATGGCACAGAGCACCAACAAACCCTGCTGAAGCACAGGTCTTTTAAGAGGCAACAAGCTACGTTTCTTGCATGAAAGATGCAGCATAGTTTGAACTGCTATGATGTCAGTATTTACTAGATGAACTCAAAAGTTCTCCAACACCCAGAGAACAAAAAAGTCAGCATACTAAAGACAGACATGATGATTATATAGGCCAAACTGTTCAATGAATCAGACAAATCTCATCCAAAAAGTGTATAGGCCTTTTTGAAATTGATCTTTCATTTTGCGGTGAAGAACAAAATCTGGATTAGAGAGCAGGTATATCTACATTCAGAATTTATACTTTTTTCTGTTGCTTCAAGGAGATTCAGATCATATATTTTTATTTCCTTGACATATATGATGGAAATAGGAAAAGACCTCCAAAACATCACAGATGAGTTAGCAAAGAGTCCTCTAAGATTACCCTGCTGTTAACTGAACTGGTAGTGAACTATCAGAATGGAAATCTAATGGAAGTCAACAGGCTGGACTCAATCCATCCCTAGAAAACAAGTGATTAGAGTTAGTTGAATTTTCTGATGTAGAATTCAAGCCAGGGTTCAAGAGGCTCTAGAGGGCATGGTGGAAAGCTTGATTTTCTGTTATACTGAGTGAAATTTATCTACTTCATAGAGCTCACTTTCCTAATCAAACAAGTTTCTTTCTTTAACTATGGCGAAACATTGTGCAGGCTCTCTTATCTTGTTCACTGAAAACATGGGACAGATGAATAAAAAGAAATATTACAGGGCATTACTTTGCCCCTGCAGCTCAACGGCACAGATAATTGAACAACCATGAAGATGACGACATCTTAGAAGAATACATCTCTTCCAGAAAAAAAAAAAGGAAAAAAAATCTATTTTAGAGAAAAAATAAAATGTAAGGTAGATGAAAATTGGGAATGATTTGCACATTAACACAAAAAGCGATTATAGCTCCCTGGTTGAGACAATCATGACTAATTGTCAAAAATCACTGACTGAACAATGCAGCCCAGATTAATTTCTTGCTCCGTAAGAAATTCTGGCTAAAGACAGATATCTTAGGGGACTCGGTGGAATTTATTTATCTCAATTGGCATACTTGTTTTTGTGTATTCTCTGGATTAATCCTTTCCATCCATATTATATATAAATCAAGTACATAAACTACCCAGTTGCCAAAGAGACCACCTAGGAATTTGAGAAGTAACAGTAGAAAATTATTATTAATCCATTCTCAGCAATGGTTAGACCCATATTCCTTGGTTTTCTTATATGGATGGAACTCGCTATTTTTACTCCTCTTATTTAGAAAGTCTGGTTTATAAATTGACATTTGTGACAAGTTAGCCTTTATTTGATTTCCTGTACATTGTTTTCCAACTTTCTCATCTTCCAAATTTTATAGGAATGTGTGTGCAAGTGAGAACTAACTTGCTTACTTTTCCTTTGTTTTATTTTTGCTCTACTCCACCCAGCCTTCAGGTTCTCTGTAAAACAGTTTGTGAGGCTCTGACTGTTAGGAGTTTGCCACGTTTTCCTCCTTCATTTCCCTCATTCTCAGATTTGCTAGATAATCCATATATAAAAACAGTGTTCTCTGTTACTGAAATGGAGCCTTAAAACACTTGCGACCTCAGGAATCAAAACCTGTGAAAGCAAAACAAAGCTCAGCTGTCTGAGAGCCTGTGGGATGAACAGATACAAACCTAATGACTTGATTACACTGTGCACACATGGGAGTACGTTTTCCCGCTGGAATATGCTCTGCCCTCTGAACCAATGTGTCTTGCTCCGTTAGCTGAGGTGGTGTCGCAAACTTTTGACTCGGGGCAGTTGTTCCAGACGGTTTAATACTGTTTGATGTCCATCCACTGGCAGGAGCTGGGGAAGGAATGCCAAAAGCATTTAGAAGACCATCTTTCAGTACCAAGTAAATTATTTTGAAATACGAGCAACAGGCAACATTTTTCTAACAGCTTTGTCCAGCTTGGCATATACCTGCCTACTTAAAGCAACAAATTAAAAAGTGCTTATTTTCTCCTCCTCCCCCACCAAGTAAGACTGTCCTACCTACTTTACAAAATGTCTGCGAAATAACACAGCACATTTTTGGCTAACTTGTAAAAAAGCAGTGGACAAATTTCAACATATTAAAGAAGTTATGTGAAAGAATGTACAACCTGTGAAGGCATTATTTTGCTTTAGATACAAAAAGTGGCGCCAAGAATATCAGTGTATGAACAGAGACATAAGAATATGACATACCTACTCAAAACATTTTACAGTGAGTAAAATAAATAGATCATATATCACTACCAATAGATTAAACAAGAATATGCATCCAATACAAGTACAGGAACTTAAAATACAGTACTGTATAAGGAAAACATATTTCTAAATCAAACTTATACACTAGACTAGATCACTAAACACTGCCAATCTGAAGCACTCCAATAGCTGTGTTCGCATCCGTTTAGAAAAATTATGGCTCTGATGTAAAAGCCTGACATTTCCAGAAGTGTGTATATCCATAGACTTCCATTTGCATTCTGGTTTTAAGGTCATATATATAAGCTTTTAAGGAGTAAGAAAAATGCATTTACAAAAATGAAATGCACAGATGATACTTGTTGCCAAGGGTAATGAAGAAACAAACACTCGTCTGCTTTTCTTTCTCCTATTGATACATGTACCTTGGTAACGTACAAGCCACAACAGCACAAGTTTATGGGAGTAGTTACTCCTGTCAAGTGGAGAATTCTTTTTCTTTATCAAGCAAGCTACATAGAAAAAGAAAAAAATCTAAAAATAAAATAAAAATAGCCTTTTGTTTGCAACTACAGGCAAGCAAAAACATGTCTGCTTACTCTGTGTCCTGTCTTTATAGCAGCCATACTAAACCTCGTAAATCAACAAGTGAAATTAAGACCTGAGTGGAAGCTCAGGAGGGAACAACCAAGCAACAACAGAGATGTCTGACAGCGTGGGACAATGCTCCTGCTGAAATGATGAATCTCTCCAACACATGGTTGGGGTATCTGCATGTAGCTTTCCCAATACTTTTTATGGAAAATTAGTTTGTGGAGCTGTTAGTCTTAGTTGTTAGTGCTATTCACCCTTCCATCACCTTTCATATCTTTCAGGGAAAAGATGAAAAATTGTTTCCCATTATTTCCTTAATGTAATGCTGATCAACCTTTCCCTTACCAAAAGGTGCAAATATCTTTCTGGTAAAACACTATACTTCCTTGCTCAAATGGACACAACATACTAATTCACCGAAAAGATAAATGACAGCGAATACAAAGAAAATTCAACAGAAACGACAATTTCTTACTATTTAGAGAAAATAGCCACACACTACACAATTTGATCAAACCAATCCAGTGAACTTTAATAATAATAATAAACTAAAAAGCCTCTCCTGCATATTGGTGCACTAAGGTGACACAGCTGGAGAAGAAATCCTTTTTAACACCAATACTTTTATAGTCTAATCATGCTTGTTAGCTTGGTGTTAATCCACTGGCATTAGTAGGCACAATACCTACTTTTGCTTATTTTTCCCTCTGTATGAAGATGCAATGTAGTTGAATTTTCTCAAAATAAGTGATTTCAAGACTGACATATTTTTGGATCCCCTTCAGTATATGAAGTAGCAAAAAGCATACCTAATGACCATTATTTTTTTATTATTTTTTAATATTAAGCATATTGCTTATCTATTACATGTAATAAAGCAGTGTGTAACATCTTGAAAAATAACATCTTGATTATAGAGACATTCAGCACTGCTAAGTAGAAAGTACTCAGAAATGTGCACCTCAAAAGCACTTGATCTTGAACAAGTCACTCTGTTACTGTAGTTCATTTTAGATTATAAATGCCTGCTAAACTGAAAACATAGGAAGAGATAAAACTGGAAAAGGTGGCAGAAAGCCTTTGAAGACATGAACAAAAGTGGTTTTGATTAATAGCACTTTCCTTCTCTATCACCACCAATGGCTTTCTGATTTTCAGGTCCCATTTCATGCAAAGACAAAAACACACTAAAACCAAATCTGTTTGAAGACTGTTTTCTCCATTAATCAAACCGCAGCACAGTTTCTAGTGTATTGCTCATTTGTGTTTATCTGCTGAATCCCAAAGCCCATTCAAACACGTCAGCTAGCTCTTGTTTGCACTGGTAAAAAAAAAAAAAAAAAGCCCTCCTACTTGCTTAAAGAAAGAAAAAGTACAAAAGTACAACTACCATGATTACTCCTAGTTCTTTGGTCTCATTACAACGTTCATTAGTGCTGTGTTTACGTACGATGCTTTTCTGAATGCTGCCCAACTTTAAAATCACTACTGGCCAGGATAGGATCTTTCTCCAAAAACCCTCTCTCAGAGCTGTTGGATAAATGGGACCGTAATTTCTGAGTTACTCAAAGCACAAAAAGAGGAGAGGAGAAGATGAATGTTCATCAGATTGAGAAATAATGTCAGCCTACTGCTGACCCTATGATAAAACAAAAATTCTCTTTTAAGCAAACCATACTATAAAACACACTGATTAATACCATGTTAAGCAAGGGCTGTGGCCTAAGCAAAAACAAACTGGCTATTTACAACTGAGGACCAGTGAAAGCAGATGGATCTACTTCACCTCCACTGAAGTGGGTGAAATCATGTTCAATGCACAGACCTTCAGCAGATGCAAGACTCCCCAAGGGATCACAGCCATAATGCAAGTGGAGAATTAGTGTCAAATACTCTGGGGAATGACAAATAACCTGTAACCTTCAGATACCTCCGCATTTCCAGAATATTTTTGGATACTGGACAAAACCTAAGTTTCAAAAGGCTTTTTGACTGTCATTTGTAAATTTATTTGCTACTTTAGTGGGAACAATATCTAATTGATCACTGCAGATGCCATCAGCAGCTGAGAACTAGGATAGAAAAGGTTTCTTCCTGTTTAAGAATCCTTGAAAATCAAGATCTTAAGGCATTTTATTATTATCTCTCTTCTTCCATCTTTTGAGGACAGTGTAAAGCCAGGAAGCTCCCTCCTCATATTCACAGATTGTACCTGCAGTGTCCTCTCAGGGGGTAATTTTCTTCTTGCTAATATTCACATTAAAACCTTGTTGGTCTTGCACAGTATTATCCCCCTCGATTTCTGCTCTGAAGTGGGCTCAAGTTTCTTTCACTTTAGATTCCTGATCCAGAAGAGGAGTCAGTCTGCTTCCTTTGCCTCAGATTCATACTCTTTTCTAAGTTCTTTTTTTTTTTTTTTAAGAAAATACACCAGTAAAGTACAATAATAGCTATTTCACCATGTTTACTGTAGTGGTTTCTCTGTAAACTCCCTGCAGTTGTTCTATGAGATTTTTTTCACCATATATCAGTCGTCTTTTCACACACTTGATTTGCCTCAGCCTTCCTGATTCCCATCTGAACACCTGCCTGCAGACAGTTTTAACACCTACTTGTATCTTCCCATAGGCCAGAAGTATGCCTGTAACACTCCCCTAATCTTAGCAAAGGTTTGTTACTCCCACTGTAACCCAATTTTTTGTTGGTAGTGGGTGAGTTCTCATTTTTGTTGTTTTTTTTTGTTTGTTTGTTTTTACGTCATTAATAGTTGCTTGCTTACAATCTATATGAATTGACAATTTGTATTTTTATTTTATTTTATTTTGTCAATGTTCTACCTTGTGTGGCTGAAGAATTTCAAATATTAGGCATGTTTTCTCTTTCAGCATGAAAGCTGATATTTCTTGACTAGCCCTTCCAGTTTACAAGTTAGTCAATATTCGCATTAGGCAAGATTTCACAGAATACTGACACTACTTGAGTTCCTGCATTTATTTATTTTTTTCCCCATTCCCTTGGAAACCTTTCAGATAGAATTAGGTTCTAAGTTCTGTTTTACTGTGGGAGCAGCCTAATTTATTTATTTATTTATTTATTTATTTAGTAACCTCTAGTTTCTTTAACAGATTCTCTAGCCTTGAAATACAGCCGCATGATTTAAACAAAAACGTCAGGCCCTGCAAATTTATGGAACTAGAAGCTTTCAACAGGGCACACAAGTAATAACAAGGAGGGTACAAATTCTTACACTCAATCTAAGCCTCTCAACCCCTCAACTCTGGCCATCAGTTTGAGCCCTCCTGCGGTTTGTGCTTTATACTTTGCTTTTTACATTCTCCCTTTGGTGTCAAGCATGGGGATGGGTTGCTGTTAACAGACACTTTTTTTTTTGAAGCAATTCAGACTGCAGAATTGTTGCAGGGGAAAGAGGTGTCGGGAAGGAGGCAGCTATGCATCCAAATCCCTTAAAAAATGAATAGATGAAAAAAACATACCAGCACACATGAAAGGAAAAATTTATGACTTTGGATCTTTCAGCAGCTCTGTTCTCACAGAGCTGGTACCTGAGGTCTGGCAAAGTGCACGCACATTTGTAATATCAAAAGATGACCTAGCAGGGAGGGGAAGGAAAACAACTCCAGCTGCTTCACAACATCTCACCACAGATTTTCTGGCCACCGCCTTTGTCGAATGCAGTGGGACAGAGCACAGGAACTTGTGCAGGTTCTCTGAATTATGAGCTCTACAAATAAATACATTATAATCAATAAATAATTTATAAAAATTATAAACATCGTTAAGAGTTATTCCACACTGAGTGGTGGAGAGGTTCCGGTTCTCTGCAAGTCACAGAAAAGATCCCTGTGGCTGAATTTTGGAGTTTTGCAGGCTTTCACCTCCACTCTCTTTAGTTAAACCTTTTAAAGCACCATTGATTTTTACCTGTGCATTGTCATAGCTGGCTTTTTTAAAAAAAGAAAACATTCTGTACCTGAGTATTAACTTTCTACTTTATTAGG